GGCTCAGAGTGCAGCCCGGGATGTGTCGCCGCCGCGACTCGCTGCTCCGCCAGTGACACACCGGCCTATAGTGCAGCCCGGGATGTGTCGTCGCTCCGTCGGTGACACTCGCTGCTCCGCCAGTGACACACCGGCCCAGAGTGCAGCCCGGGATGTGTCGTCGCTCCGTCGGTGACACTCGCTGCTCCGCCAGTGACACACCGGCCCAGAGTGCAGCCTGGGATGTGTCGCCGCTCCGTCGGTGACACTCGCTGCTCAGCCGGTGACACAACGGCTCAGAGTGCAGCCTGGGATGTGTCGCCGCTCCGTCGGTGACACTCGCTGCTCAGCCGGTGACACAACGGCTCAGAGTGCAGCCCGGGATGTGTCGTCGCTCCGTCGGTGACACTCGCTGCTCAGCCGGTGACACAACGGCTCAGAGTGCAGCCTGGGATGTGTCGCCGCTCCGTCGGTGACACTCGCTGCTCAGCCGGTGACACAACGGCTCAGAGTGCAGCCCGGGATGTGTCGTCGCTCCGTCGGTGACACTCGCTGCTCAGCCGGCGACACAACGGCTCAGAGTGCAGCCTGGGATGTGTCGCCGCTCCGTCGGTGACACTCGCTACTCCGCCGGTGACACACCGGGTCAGAAGGAACGACGGCCGTCTGCTGCGGGCGCGGGGCGGCGTCCACCCACCGCACCTCTGAGAGTGGGATCCCCGGCAAGGCACACGACCGACGCGGGTGCGAGATCACCGACACGGCTGCGAGTCTATCGACGCGAGGGCGAGTTTACCGACGCGAGGGCGAGTGTACCGACGCGAGGGCGGGTCTGCCGACGCGAGGGCGAGTCTACCGACGCGGGTGCGAGTCTATCGGGGCGAGGGTGAGTCTACTGACGGGGGGGGGGGGGAGTTTACTGACGCGAGGGTGAGTCTACCGACGCGAGGGTGAGTTTACCGACGCGAGGGTGAGTCAACCGACGCGAGGGCGAGGCTACCGACGCGAGGGTGAGTCTACCGACGCGAGGGCGAGTCTTCCGACGTGAGGGTGAGTCTACCGACGCGAGGGTGAGTCTACCGACGCGAGGGCGAGTCTACAGATGCGAGGGCGAGTCCACCGACGCGGGAGCGAGTCCACCGACGCGGGAGCGGGTTCACATACGCGGATGCGGGCTCTGGGTTGCGGCGACGGCGGAATGCCGCCGCAGCCCCCCAGTTTGACCAGGGCGGCGGCCATGTATACTGCTGGAGGTACCGGGTGGGGGTAGGGGGGGGGGGGGGGTAGGGTCGCGTCAGCTGCAGGGTGACGGGCTTGCTCGGGACGGCCGAGCCGCAGCAGGCAGCAGCAGACGTGCTCTTGTTGGCAGCTGGATCGTACGGCTTTTTCAGGGTGCCGTGGACGCGCTGGGGTCCAGAGGTCACGGGCTACAGGCCACAGGGGACCTGAGAACAATGTTCAATCGGATATTGTAATAGGCTGCTGGCTCCGTGGAGGCACCCTTCTCTGTCATGTAAAGTCATGGTTTTGTACCACAAGACGTAATGTACTAGAACTTTTGGAAAGACGGAGTTGAGCAAAACAAGGTTATAGTTGCTTTGGAATACATTGATCGCGACGGGAAATAAGTTATTTTTGGTTTGATGGCGTCATGTCACCGACGTTTGATGCTTGTTTATCTGATTGCTGGTGCTAAGGCAGTGAACGTTAAGTTAACTGTATTACAAATAAAACACGCTTAATATCCCACTTTAATCTGTTCCGATTTATCAAGTTGCTACTAGGAGAACTGATCAATCTAGAAAAGGCGTGCTCCTTTGAGAAATTGAATATGTCACGAATGTAGTGTGCACGTTTTAGTTGTCGTCCCCTAACCGAGTTAAGCAGGGAAAAGGTATTTTATACGATGTGTAAATCACCTGGTAATCATGTGTTTTTAGAAGTGGCATGAAGTTGCAACAAAAGCGAGCATTTTAGCTGTTCCATCTTCCTTGCCATTGAAATGGGTATGTCTGAAAATAAGCATCAATCAAGCAACACACATGGGTTATCTATATTTTAGCTTCTTCATAAACAAGAGCAATTGATCACGATACAGTTATGCACGAACATTAAGCATTTTGTGTTCAAAACAGATGTTGCAGCCAAGAAATAGAAGGTGTGTTTTACAAACACAAATTTTTGTGTTGGACGCTTGCTACCAGCTGTGCCTTTATTTCTTTTTTCACTGAAAATGACATGACACATTTCGACGGAAGGGGCTTTTTTGACCACCTAACAGTGGCATGCGTCGTTAAACATTTTTATCATAGCCATAATCTAGCAAAGTCCGTGCTCTATTGATTCAATGGCCTCTGAGCGTGTATCAAGTTAGGAGATGCATATGGATGAAAAACAGCCGAGGACATGACACTTGGACGTTTTTCCGCGATTCTAGATGCATCGGCTGACACGAAAAAAGACATTATACGAGGACGTTGAACTGTCGCAGAAAGGGTTGGAATGTCTTGTGTAATAGTTTGAGAGTTGATCTCGCCAGTTAAAAAGGCTTATGAAAAACGCCATCTGCTTGACACACATGGAACTGTTATTTCTGCTCACCGAGTTGACTTCCATTTGCTCGAAACTGCGTACACATGTTGATGTGGGGCTGCCAGTGTAGCGACATCAATCAGCCATCAGCAGACGCCGTCTTTTCAGTCGCGTCGTTTAAAGTGGGCAGTTGACTGGCGCCGTCAGCTGATGACAGTTCAATGTCATCTGAAATGCTAAACCGGCCAGAGACAAACGGAGCCGAACCCGACTGCCCTCGCGAAGACACATAAGTGAGGTTCAGTACCGACGCCGGGCTGGTGATGTGCGATGGGTGAAGCCAGGTCATTCAGGTTAACGTAGCGTAGGTACTAACGTCCATACTTTATATTAAAAATACTGTTGCATGCGGCTGCAGTAGGAGAGCAATGTTACGTATCCTCTAACGCGCCGCATTGTGCATTTGTGTTGTTAGATCCGTGAATGTGATACGTTATGCGTCAAGCCATAATCTAAGAGTCGGGTATGACAGGTACACCTTCATATCGTTATCTTGTCATATACACATGGCATGAGGATGAAATAAGCCATGATGTACGACTCAAATGGAACTGCGTTAAACGCTGCCGCCGTGAACTATAACATATCAAATAGATTACGTAGGTAAAACAGATTTACCCTTCATTTGGCTCCACTATGCTGCCTTGACCTTGGATAATGTAACCTGTCATTCGCCTTGTCTAGCGTTGCATTAGCGTTTAGTTGTTTAGAGGATGGCAAATTATTGCAGAGAATGCCTTTAAGAAGCACGCCCTTGAAACCGGCATTATTTGGCGCAGTGACGCAGAATGTGCTTGGTATCGTCTCCACAACGATGAGCTACAAAGTAATGCTAATGATGTGATGTCATAGATCATGAAACGTACGCATTGAACTCATTGACAGACTTTGTATGAGTGCATTAGGAGCACTTGGCACACCACTGTGATGCCCGCTACAGCTTATAAGTCATCCAAACAAGCTTGTACGCATGTTCCCGCTGCGTTGCCGCCCCACAAGTGCGTACGTTTTAACGTCCGGATTAAAACTGGCACAACATTACTAAATTGAAAGCAAATAAATTCTGAACAAGTATTTCCGCCGATTCGCGCAAACATGCAAAAAGAGGCGAAGCGTATTTGTGTTCCGAAATTTGGTCAGCCGGGGAATGCAAATGGTGCGTGTATGCATTGGGAAAAACATTTTCCGTGACGCCCATCCTTCCGGCAGGAACATCGGTGCCTTGATAACCCCATGACGGTGACGTAATTACATTACTTGCACATGGACATGTGTCAGTGATCAGGTTGTCACGAGGGCATTGGGGCTAGATGCAGCTCCGACTCTCAACTCAATGCTGTCAGGGGGCGTTTCAAGCAATCCACATTACCCTCGAAGGGGACATCGCTGGTCGGACAGCGCAGACGTATGGTCGATTACAGGGAGGCCACGCGCGGGTTCAATCCCCGTCATTGGCGGCTTTCGCTCGCCGCGCCTCCACCAACGGCATAGGAGCCGACGCCTTAATAACCAGCGCAGCCACGGGTGTCGATAAACAGCGCAAAAAGGAGAAAGGCCGAGCCGCGCAGTCGCCGGCCATGCGCGGCGCTCGGCGCTCCGAAAGTGAATGAGCAGGCCCGGGTGACCCTTGCCGGACTATCGCCGGCCGACGGGCCCGTCACGCCTGCCGACCATTAGCTGGCGATCGGCCGTCTGACGCAGCATCTGCGCGCCGCCGGCCGGCTCCGAATGTCGGACAAATGCACAATCGCCAGCAGACGCGCGCGCGCAAAAACGGTCAAAACTTCGCGCGCGCGGTCGTGACCGTATTCAGCTGATAAAAAGCCAGCTGATTATAGAGCAGGCGGCGGCCGAGCGGCGCTGGACGACAAATGCGGTGGAGCGGCCGAAAAAGTGGCGAAAGAATCGTGGGGCGGCGGAGGGCCGGCGGCGGAGGCGGAGTCACCGGCGCCGCGCACTCCGCGCCAGAATCGCCTCCGCCGCTCCCGCGCGCCGCGACCGCCGCCGCCGGCAGCGGGGCGCGCGAGACTCGGCGGTGCCGCGCGGCGCGGCGGCAGTGGTCGCGTCCCCCCGTCACGTGACAGATAGTATCAGCGCGCTCCGCGGCCACCGCTGGAACCTGATTTCCCCCGATCGGCGGCTGATAAGCGGGCAGACTCCGCCTTTGCACAGCCGGCGGCCGGCAGCCGGTCCAGTGCGGCCCGCGCAGCGCGACTCATGGGCGGCCGTCCGCCGAGCCGGGGCACAGCCGCGCGCCGCTGCCGTCAGCGCGGCTCACCACCTGCGTGAGGGCGTGTGCTCGCCGCCGACAAGACGTCTCCGCCGGCCGCGAGCGTCGACGCGCCGGTCCAGCCGCGCGCGCCCCGCGGCGGCGACACGAGTGTGCGGTGTGTCCCCCGCGACGGCGCCGACGACCGGGCGGGCCAGCCCGCGCCGCCGGCCGCCGCCAGCGCCGCCATGGCCATGTACCCGGTGCAGGACTTCGCGGCGCCGCCCAACATGGAGATGTCGCAGTATCAGTACTTCCCGTACCGGCCGCGGCCCGAGCAACAGGTAGGGGAGCAGCGGCGGCCCTCGTCTGGGGCGAGGCGGCGCACCGGAGCCGACTCTGCCGAGTCACGGAGTCCGGTGGCACCCGACAGAGCGCCGTGACTTGCCGTTGGATCGTGAGCTCGCGGCCGGATGGGGACCTCCCCAAATGCGCCGCAGGCCGCCGATCCATCCCTGATCCGCCGTGTGGGCCTCACGTTCAGTGGCCAGATGATTCTGGTAGTGGTCGGACGCTGAGACGAGCAGGCCGAGAGAAGCTGCTGGGAGGCGTGTTAGAGGCCGCAGCCGCGCAAGACACGGCATCGAGCTGGGCGCGGGTCCGGGGAGAAATAGGTCTGGGGCCTTCGAATCCGAGACGCACAGGTTCGAGACAGACAGATTGGGAACCCTGAGATCCAAGACCGACATGTCCGAGGTAGACCGGTACGAGGTCCTCAAGTCTGAGACACTTGGGCACAGGTTTGAGGTTCTCGGGCGGAGAGAGGCAGGAGCGATATCTCCAGATACGAGTCAGAAGAGCCCAAGACCTGTAGACCTCACCTGTGCACATCTGCGAGACCCTTACCTTAAGAATGTTGGCCTAATCCAGGGGTTTGAGAACCTGAGATCGGATACCTCGTACAAGGCGCATACGTCTATTGTGCTCTGCCCCTGGGCAATCAATCAAACATTAGCCCGAGGCTCTCAGGTCTGCAGCGTTGGCTATCTCGCTGTGTCCTCGAAATACGTGGTGAAACTGGATCTATCGGCTCCACAAGGCTTCCATTGCGAAGACCTGGCGTTCAGTGGGAAACATGGATGGGCCATCGCCCAACTTTCTTGGATGCCTTTGGGAAATCAGTTCACAATATCTATATTCCGTGACATTTTTTTAGAATTATAGCCGTTTTTGCGCTGATGCTATACCACAACAGGTGTAACTTCTGAACAAGCAACCGACATACTGGCAATTTTAAGACGTCTGCATTTTGTGGGGTACCTCGGGCCCAACGGCAACACCGCACAACGCGCTGCATACAGTAATGTTGAGATGCCTCCGGCTTGGTGTGGTCCGACGTAGACAAGCGAGCCGTCGAGCCGCTCCGTGACGAGTCGTGGCACAATCTGTCGTCGAGATTGTCCGTTTAGCTTGAATGGCTCTGTACTGAAGTGGCAGGTTTAGGGTGTTCTCAACAGGCCATGCTTAGCAAGGACTCTAATTCGAATGGGTCCTGCAAGACCTGCAAGCCCTGGAAAATGAGCATTTCGATTGACGTACTGTTCCTGACGTTGTGGTACCCTGAGATGGTTCGTGCTTGGGAAGCCTTCATGAACGCCAGAAAACTCCGCTGAAACTAAAAATGAACTGTCGTGTGATTTTGCAAAAGTGTATGAGATGAGCTGAAAGCCACGATGACGTGAGAAGACAGAAACACGAAATTCGCATTGTTTTGCAGGACGTGGATTTGCTTTTGCACCAGGGAACGACAAAGCTGGTCATCTCCACGTGATTTGTTAAGTTGTATGGGGGACGTGTTCCATGCTGGTTTGCACCCATCGCTACATGTCTGCATGCCAACCATCGCATCACTAACTATCATGCGCACTGCGTTGAGGGGTTAGGGTTGCTGAGTTGAAATAATGCCACCAAAGATGGTGGGCATGATTCAAAATATCCCGTCACATCATCTAAAAGGACGTCGATAGGTTGATATTGATTGCACGTAGCTGCGGACCTCGATTCGCAAAAGTCCTAGCACGCACAATCAAAGCCTGTTGTGTTTCAGCCCTAAGCAGCGCTGCACTCATACATGCGCCAAACCGACATGTTCACACCGAAAGTCTGGAAAAAATGAAGGATCTTTTTTGGCAAGCATAGCTGGAGTGAAAAACCTATGCATTTCTTAAATTTCCAAGGCGTGCTGACGAGAACGGTAGCTCCATGTACCAATCACATTGAGCCAAATGAAACAGAAGGCTTGATTACCTCCGACAGAGTGCCACTCCACTCTCCCCCACTTCTCACACGGCATTTCCATCATCCGTTGCTCACTGTGGAGCCGCTGCAACAGCTGGTGAAGCAGCTGGTGGTTATGGCCCAGCAATCGCTGGTCACGAATGTCAATTCGACATTAAACCGCTAGTTAGATACTGCTGTGAGTGCTCTTGCCATACGGGTTACCTGAACACAATTGCACGAGCGCTTCCAACTTTACGGCCCGGGTTGGCAACAATTAACTTCGGAAAGGACTCAAGCGCACGCATGTTTGCAGCGTAGTGAGTTGATTCGGGAGTTTCAGTCTTTCTGGCAAGTCATTCATTAACTATGCATGGACTGAGTCGTGCACTTCGATATCATACATGGGTTAGCGCAAATTAAGCAGGTGTGTACCGCTTTGGCATGAGGCTGTCCCGCATCTTCGTCTGGGACAGTGAGCATTTTATATTTTACCTACAAATTTGCATCCTAATGAAATGAGCGGAAATGGTGCTATTCTCAGTCACGAAATTGTATCCATACATTCTTGTTCGGTTTGCCATTGGAAAACGGACGTATAATTCCCCATGGAGATTGGGCAATCTTGAAGGATTATCTTTTGATGGATATTACAGCCGATTTCATCAGCAACTGATTTAACTCGGGCTCCTGTTTTAATTAAAACTTGGGCGACGAGGTATGTAGTCCGATTCATTTCAAAACTTACCAACTGCGGGCGGCGCCGGTTGAATTTCACGTGGAGGACGTCGAACGGAGCTATTGATTCCGCTCCCCGCACGCTGCCCGACGTCAGTCTGGCACGGCAGAAAACTGCAGAGAACACAGTCGAAGGGCGTGTTTGGTTAGAGGCAGCTCCAGGGCAGTAATCAAGCGAGTGCTGGTGCCGTGTGGAGAGTAATTAAGACAGGCGATTTCCAAAGTATTGGGCTCGACTGTAGCATCCAATCTAACACCAGGTTGCTAGCGCAACATGCGAGTACTCTCTGCAGATCTGTATTGGTATTTGGGAGTTGCTCCTGGCTTTTCAGGTCTTTTCGGGGGCCGACGTATTCAAACGCCAGCGAATAAAGCACAAGCTAGCCTTCTCCACGGGATTGCCTGCGGCAGGAGTGTGACTGCTGGTGCGCGGGATCACTTGCTGCCTTGTTGACTTGTGCGTGCTCTTGCGACTTATGAGCGTTGCTTACCTTTACGGCGGATTCATCAAACAGCAGTGTGGCCCGACCTCCTTCATAGCTGCTGGTTAGATTCCAGTGAGCACATACGCAACATCTAGCACTGCTTTTTCTAAACCAGAAGAAACTACGTGTCCAGAAGGGAAGTTTTACAGCGTTACCAGCCAAGGAAAACGGAAATATCGGCACTCCTTTCGCGGGACTTCAACGCACTTGAACGCTGTGTTATGCTAGGAACAGCGCGCCGCCGGAATGAAACCTCTGTCATGTGCCGACATCCTATGCCCCATGATAAGGCGCTGAAGCCTACAACTTGCGAAAAGATTGCCATTCTTATGGAGAAGTGCTAGTAAAAAATAGGCTACCATGTTAATCAGAGCATTCCGCAACATTCTACACAATTGGCTAAAAACAAATGTGTCAGAGCTCTTGATCTCCTCAAAATGAGCCACCCATCCGGAGCACGCAAGGAAGTACGTGTTCAAGTCGTTCGCTATACACCAATAAAACATGTGAACAGCCTAATGTGATGCAATCGACATAAGTCACACATGCCGTCAATTTCCCGGTGTCCCTCCGCACTCTAAAAAGGTTTCCTTTTGTTTGACCTGACCCAATGTCGTCAGAGGAAAATGGCACCTTACAGTGGTTGGCACTCTTCCTTAACGTGGCGCGACCTCACCTGACCTGAGGTCGACAACGGTCGGAAACGCGAGCCTGATAGTATCTGACCTGACCCGACCCGATATCTCCAGAGGGCAGTCACTGACCGATGGTCGGCCGTGTCCTTTGACCTGACCTGACCTGACTGGATATCAGAAGACGTGATTTCGTACCGGAAGCCAGCGCAGTCCCTGACCTGACCTGACCTGAGGGTCAGAGTCGCGCGCCGGGGGTCGGGCGCCATCCCCTGATCTGACCGCCGCGGTTCGACACCACATCGCCGCTGGACCCTCCTCCCGACGTAATTACCGGCGGTCGGCGGCTATTTTCATCGTGCGTTTTTCATGTAAACGCCGCCCGGGCTAGCGCGGCCGGCGGGACGCTTCAAGAGCGCCGCCCGCCGGTGAGGAGAGATAAACCAGGGCGGCCGCCGGCGCCGCCGGCCGCCGCCGGCCGCCGCCCGCCGCCCGGCCGTCGGCCTGCGGCCACGGCCGTCACCGCCCGCCGCCCGGCCGTCGGCTGCGGCCACGGCCGTCACCGCCCGCCGCCCGGCCGTCGGCCGCGGCCACGGCCGTCACCGCCCGCCCAGAATGGTCAGATCCGTTGGCGGGTCACCTGGTGCTGTACCGCGGGAGCGCAACGACGATCGGAGCACGTTATCAGCCTTGCACTGTGGGTCGGGGCACGGTGCCACCCCTCGTTGGTGTTCGGCACCAGGCGCCATGCTTTACCAGTGCGTGCATTGTTGGTACGGGTGCACAGTTGCTGGTAGTGCCAGTGTACAGTCATTGGTAGTGCCAGCGCGCTAGTGCTGGTGCCAGCGCACTGCACTGTCGATTGCACTGGCCAAGGTACCTACCGCCACGTCAATGTGGCTGTGAGTTTGGTAGCAAGTGTAACCAGTGCAGCGGTTACCATGCATTACCAGCGCGCACTACTAGGGACCATCGTAGCCACATCGGTGTCCGTGAGCGATGGAGTCGCGCCCCAGCGGTGGTCAGCACTCGGAACGCTGGCTTATGAAAGGCACGGACACCTGACACGTGCCTTCGGGACAGGTGTCCGCACGCACATCGTGGCGTAGTTTTGGGTGGTTCCTGATTGGAGCTGACAGGGAGAGATCGGGGATAATGGTTTGTTGGGGTTTGTAGCTCGATAATTTAACGACCATCTGAAGGAAGCCGTCA